AAACATGGCCTCAAACCCTAACAAATGCATACAGGGGAGGTAATTACGGAGAAAAGAAATTTGAAGGTGTCACATACCTACCTATAAACGAAATAGATAGAACTTACTTTTAAAGTTGAAAAATACACTACCGCACATATCACTGTAACGAATGGCACTGTGATCACGTGCGTTATGGCGTTATGAACGTCACGATCATGCGCATTATCTGCATAAATAACACTTATAAAGACTTGCTAGTTTCGGTAATATTTGAAATGTTACAATTGACCCCTGTTACAATTGTCCCCGGTCTCCCCTAAATTAACAGTACCTTTCCACTCGTAATTTCCATATAGAAACGTTACGGCCAAGTTACATGCTAGAACTTACAAACGTTAGGTAACAGAGAGATACTAGTATACTTGCAAATTGAAGTTTACAATAGCAAAGTCTACCAATCTTGCAGCAAACATTCGTAACTTACGATGCTTAGTGGGTATTAGTTAATTGGTGCTTGACGATTAGGGTAAGTCAGGGTGAGATAGCCACATGGGTGAGATGGCCAATGCCATTGATTCCAGTTTCTGTAGCAATAGTTACCGTGATGTGCGCAAGAGGACGTCAGTTGGTACCACGCATTTCATTAGTTCCGACCGCGCGTGTTTGTTTACAACGGTAAGTGAAATTTTAACTAAATTAAGTTTAGTCTATGCGTGAAAAAGTACGGCTTCCACAACATACAACTGTATTTTTTTTTAATTCGACATTCAAGTCTGTGGTTTGTATCTGATGAATCTAACACACATCAAAACGGAATTCTAACCTAAAAGTAAAAACGTGCATGTACTTTAAATCGCAAATAATCGGTTGGCCATCTCTCCCATATGATCGGGATAGATGGCCACTCATTATTTGGTATAGTTGGCCAACATTTACGCCCTAGTTTTTTGTAGTTCAGAGAGGATGCCTACGCAATACAAACGAAAAACATCTACTAAAAGGGGCTGTTGGACCGAGAATGACTTGAACGTCGCCATGCAAGAAGTCCAAAATGGTTCATCAGTTAATGCGGCAGCACGAAATTGTGGAATTCCTAGGAAAACTCTAGAACGAAGATTGAAAAACAATAACAATTTAAAGGAACGTATGGGTCCTGATTGCCTTCTTGGAAAGGATAACGAGATAAAGCTTGTAACACATTTGAAAAAAATGCAAAAATCAGGATTTCCATTAGGGTAAATCAAGGAGAGATGGCGCGCTTTTTTGGTAATGCAATTTGTACCTTAATATGTTAAAAATAACAAAAAACCTGTAACAAGCTTAACAACTTACAAGGTCACCTTTCACAATATCATCACCAATGAAGCTAAAATAAGTACATTTTCGAAAAAGTACACATTTTTCTTTTTTTGGGAATGCGCCATCTCTCCCACCATCTATAGGAGAAATGGCGCAATGCATTAGGTGAGATGACGCATATGTTTTTATGATTTAAATCGCACGACATATGTAATTTATTTATTAATGGAAGGGTCTAGTCATAAAATAACTAACATAAAAATTTTTAACAGAAAAAGAAAATCAGTTCTTAACTTTTTTGGGGTGTTTACCACACAAATCGCACTTATCGCCATATTTGGTGCAACATTCATGTAACCACCGCCTACAGTTTATGCACTCAATCCAGTCGTCACTTTTCTTTGTTTGATTATATTCTTCGTTACATCCGACACAAATACATGATTCATCTTCTCCACTTGAGGAATCTCATAAACTACTGAATTTTCATCATCTTCTGAAGATTCAGTTACGTTCCGTACTCGTTTTTTTCTTTTATTGCTGTTGAGATCATTTGCTTTCGTAGAGCTTTTAGTATTTCTTCTAATATTCTCTTTTCCACTTTTTTTTTGCTTTTCTTCAATTTTTTGTTTTTTTTCTAAAATGTACTCATTGCTTGTTAAAACAGATGCCAGTTGTCTTCCTCGCTTTTTCACATTTTCAACGGCACGTAGAACTGGCACTGGAGATATTTGGTCTAGCATCTTACCAGGGGTGGGATTGTCGGTTTGTTCTTGTGAAGGAACAGGTCCCTCATCAACCCAGCTTGAGCAACCTGGCTGAGGTGTAGATGGTCTGTTGCTAGATACTGTACCGTCAGTTGGAGCATGGAGAGGATTCCTTGATTCATCGTCCGTTAAGAATGCATAATCGGGAATGGCGGATGGATCAAACGGTACTATGCCTGTGGCTACAAAAGAGGATACCGTAAGACGGGGCTACTTTGGACAGTTTTTGAGGTTTTTTCTTTTTTTTGATCTTATTTTATTTCGAATAGAACCAGGTTTTTTTTCGTAGGTTACTACACCGTTCCGCTATGACTTGCTGAAAAAAATAGTTTTTTTTTCTCTGGTATATATATATTTTTTTAATTTTGAAAAGTGTCCGAATTTACCTACATATGTGGGGTAATTTCGGACATGTATTTAAAAATGCATAAAATTGAAGTTCTACGAGTTAAAAAGTAACTTCGGACACAAATATAAGTTTTTAAAAAAAAAAAGAGTTGTTTTCACATAGAAACTCAAAAAATACAAAAATTCTTCAAATTATTTAACGTGTTTTATTTAAAAAAAAAACATTACTATCAAAATATCAGTCAAAAACTTAATTATATAAATTTATATAACAAGTATGAAACTAAAAAACATTTTCTTACAATAAACAAAAATAAAAAACTCTTGATATATCACAAGTCATCACTCGTTTTTGGTTCAATAATAACGTCTTACTGTAGAACAATCTTTGGTGCGTTAGAAAATTTATATCGTTCCCTTCTTAAAGGCACTGGATTGAGGATCTCAAAAATATCATGACCCTCAATATAGCTCTGGTCAGGAACATCCGGAAAGTGAAAGTAGGTATCTTTCTCAGTCTTTTTTTTTTCTTAAAAATCTTACTTGAAGAAGGGGACTTTCAGTATCTTCACCCACCTTTTCTATAACTTTGGCTGCATAATATTTTATATCTGAAGAATGTTCTATCGGAACCTTTACTATGACAAACATTCCAGGTTTAACGTTCTGAACTTCAGGTTTATCTTTCAAGTTGCTGTCGGTTAAATTTTCTTCTTCAAAGTGCTCTGTCGGAAAATCGTCATGATGAGAGGGGCCGGCCTCAAGTAAGTCAAGCCTTTTCTTTTCTAATATTTGGTCCCTCATAACACTTAATGGTTCATCATCAAAGTCTTCTAAGTCTACTTCTTGTCCCACTTGGTTTAATATCGCTTCTGGTGCACTGAAATCTCTGATCTCCACAGCTTTTCCAGCTGTAACATTTATGCGCTTTCTTTTGGTCTTTGTTTTAGGTTCGGGCATCCTCGATGTTTTTAAAATGTCTAATAAACTGTCTGAAAGCAGTGAAGCATTTGGATCATTATTTTCATCCTGTTGTCTTGGGATTCTCTTTAAAACTTGGTCTGCATTTAGAGGCCATATTCCGGTTGCTCTGAAACCCGAAATGATATTTTTCTCAGAAGTTGCTTTGATTTCATTTAATGTTCTATTGAGTAATGTGGGAAAATCGGATTTCTGGAAAGGTCCCCTTCTTTTTAATTTCCAATCGGTTAGGATTCGCCTCCAACCAAAGTAAGCCACATCAAGCGGTTGGCAAACATGAGTTGAATTAGCAGGAAGTAGGGCAAATGTAATATTATTTTCTTCACACTTCTGAATAACATCCAATGTTATGTGAGAGGACAAGTTGTCACCAATCATTAATTTCTTTCCTTCTTTATTCCGGTAGTAGGGTAAAACTATTTCTTGGAACCACTCTCCAAAAGCTCGGGCATCAAACCAGCCAGATGGTGTGCAGGAATATCGGCATCCTAAGGGTCCATTCTCCTCCCATTCTTGATACCTGTGCTTCGCTTTATAAACGACAAACGGTGGTAGCAATGTTCCTGAAGGAGAAGCGGCCATCATGACGGATATGCTGGTTTTCGTTGCATCAATAACTCGATCACAATTTTTACTGCCCCTCTTGCACACTATTTTCACTCGCCCAGGATCATCACTAAAATTTGTTTCATCATAGTTTATTATGTTTTCAGGAGGCACACCTTCTAATGAAATTTTTAATTCATCAAAATATTGTTGAATAGTAGCATGGTTGACGCTAGCCCTGCTTCTTTTGATATTTTGCGCAAGCCTTACTGATAACTGTCTATTTCTACTTAGGAACTTCTTAACCCAATCTACTCCTGGCAAATGATCAGAAAATCGATCAATCTGGACTCCTTTTCGGTTAAGGTAGCTCTGCACAACTTTCCTTACATCATATTCCACTAGTGGAAAACCCCAGGTTGCTGCAGTTGATATTCCATGAGCCAAATTTGCTTCTTCATCAGTGTTCAGCACTGGTTGCCGTCCTGGATTTTTATCATGAGTCCCTTTAACTTTGTCACCAATTGTCGATTTTGGAATCCCATAAAATTCCGACGCCTCTCTTATGCTCTTTTTGTTAGATTTAACATCTGCTACTGCTGCTCTTAACACTTCTACCGAATAATTCTGGTAGGGGCGGCTCCCCAGTTGCCTTTTGTAACTTCGCACCATTGTCCGAAGTTACCCTTCAAAAGGTGATTTTTTTGGTTAGGACGATCTGAACAAAAACAATGGACTAATCAAAATCTACAAATTACACGAAACATTCCTAACATACAAGCTTTCCAAAAAGTGGAAAAACTACGACTCTATCATTAATAGGTTTCGGTGTACGCAAGTTACTTTTTCCACTTTTAAAAAAGTCAAAAAATTGCTTACTTACGGAAACCGACGTAAAAAATCGTTGGGTGCGAAAAAAAATCCATACTCACCAAACGTTCAAGGGCAACTGTTTCAAACACTCTCTTCTCATCAGGTGACCCCGTGAATAATTTCACTGCCCCCCCATAATTTTTGTTTTTTTGTTAAACGGTCCCGTTGTCCGAATTTACCCGAGCTGTCCAAAGTAGCCCCGTCTTACGGTACTGCATTTTTTATTGTCGCTGACTTCTCCCAGGCAGAACCCAGTAATTTTCCAAATTGGAGCCTTGTAATACGTCTTCCTGGATTTGCTTCATAATAAAATGCTTTGAACGATTTAAAGAAACCTCTGTCCAAAGGCTGCAGGAATTGTGTGGTGTGGCTCGGTAAGCAAAACAAAATAACATCGTTTTCAACTGCATATTCTAACATCTCCACATTACTGCAGTGGGAAGAATGGCCATCTAGCAGCAACAACACTTTCCCTGTTGGTTTACGAGGAACAAACTGTTCTTTTAACCAATTGAAAAAGATGATATTATTAACATAAGCGGATTTTTCCGACATATAAACGATAGAACCAGGCGGCATTCCGTCTTGAAATTCAGGTTTTTTGTTCTTCCCTTTAAATATGGCCGTGGGAGGAATAAATGCCCCTTCAGCATTACAGCATACAATAACGGAAATTGTTTCCCCTTTTTCCGCAGATGAAATTGACACAACATTCTTGGAACCTTTAGCAGCGATGACGTGCTCAGGACGGGTGTTTAATTGTAAAACCCGTTTCGTCTATGTTAAAAATGTGACCGGGTTTATTCATTAAGTCATTTTCAGTTAATGTGCGTTCAAGCCGAGAAAAATACGTTTCCACATTACTTCTGTTCATTACCAATGAACGCGCCGTTGAAACACTCTCAGACTTTCTTATTGTAAGTTCCTTATTCCGTCGTAAAAATGATTCTAGCCATGGATAACCTGCCTTGCAGGATTCCCTATTAAATTTGTGCGGTAACTTCAACTGTTCTGCTAACTGAAAAGCCATGGAGCGCACAAAAGATCTGGATGGAGCAAATCCATGCTTTTGCTTCTTAATATGGCTTACAATTTTCATTTCATTTTTAGGACCCAGCGCAGACGAGGGGCCTAGATTATGACTGTGAATATCTCGTTTCTTCTTTCTGCGTCTCAAGGTAGCTTCGGGAACACCAAACTGACGGCCAGCTTCTCGGACACCCATTCTCCCTGTAGTCCATTTATATTAGTTCTAAAGTAGCCGAATAGAAAAAAAAAATTATAAAGTTTTGCCATTTGCAGATTATATACAACAAGGGAAGAGCTTTTAAAATCAAAAGAGTTCTTAAGTTAGTAGGGTGAGCTTCACCCCCAAAAACCACCCCTAATACGCACCGCGGTGGTTTTTGTCGTTTTTCTCAAGAACCCTTGGTCGCACAGAAAATTTTATTCTTACTAAAAATGTTGCTCATAAAATTTTCTACAAAAAAGATTCTTTTCATTATTTTATTTCAGCCAATGCATTTCGAGCAATGACCGATTGAAAAGAGGGGTAGAAACAAACACAGGTCGCCTCCTGAGTTGTAGTCCCCCAATGTGGTTTAATGTTCTAAATATACATGCGACAGATATAATACTGCAAAATATAGACAAAAATATGTTTTTTGTGTAATTTTTTTTTTCTGTTTTTAAAATATTTGAACCTATTTTAATTTTGCTGCTCATTTCCACACCACCCATGAGGTAGAGCAATCAGTGCGTTTTTTTTCAAGTGGTTTCCCCTGTAGGCCTATTCAACTAAGTTTGATCTATATGTCATCGTCTACAGTCTCTATAATGTACTCGGTATTCGTACAACTTTGGCCACGACAGGTTCCGCACATAGTTGTACATTTCAAGCCCGCCCTAATGCAGCTACATCTTTTCACACACCCTTGTTTGCAGTTGCAAGTTATTAACGATAAAATTTGAGCCGGGGCGGGCGCTTCTGTCGTATATATAGGCGACAGTGTGTTATTAATTTTCTTCCAGCCCCATAGGTCGGGCTTTAAAGATTGTTCCCGCCATATTTGTACTTGAAGGTACGTTCGCCGGGAATGTTGCTGCGCTGCAGCTGATGTGGGAGGTAATTTTGACAAAAGTACTGTGCTATTTGTCTTACCAACTAACTTATTAAAACAAGAGTACCTTTGCTCACTAAGGCTACCTTCGGATGGTTGAAGTTTGTACAGTTCCAGTACAAACCTTTCTCCGGCTTTGTCAATTTCTTCAGGGCTTGACTTTGCGTTGTTGAAAACATCTACGATATTGTCAAGGTCTGTTTTTCTATTAAATGTTTGTAAATATTGTTGTTTTCCTTTTCCAAAAAATCCTGATGTTGTGTCGCAGCCGCTTATAGCATGAATAAATAAAATCGATTCTTTTAAATTGCGTATAATTGTGGATGAACTTTGAACTGTACATTCGTCGTTTCACATTACCGATAGCTTCTTTCAGAAATATAATGTCTCTTTCATCAGGTGCAAGTGCTGCTAATAAAACAAGAAGATCGACGTCTTGTCCGACAACTAGAACTTCATTTTTCTCACTTATTTTAATGGCAGTACGAACAATCTGGACATCAGCATCATCTACTGCAACTGATGTGCTGATATTCTCGCTATTCAGGTGTATAGCAAGCTGCGAAATGAGTCGTTCCTTATTTTTAATATTACCCAGGAATTTATTTTTCTGTTCGACCAATAATGTATTGCTATTAAAGACAATTTCACGACTCGAACGCTTCAGCAATCGCCTTTCACGTTCGACGCATTTTGTGCTTGTACTATTTTCAGTGTAACCGTCGAATACCACAGTAACTTTTTGACCATAGCGCTTTCGAATAAAATTGGTATATGCAGTATAAACATCCAAAAATGTACCTTCTTTTGGCCACTCCATGCGGTGGATAAGAAAACCACCGTCAAGAACAACATGATAATTTGCTGTGTTGATTTCTCGTTCCGCAACTGCATTAAAGATATCATAAAATGTGGATTTTTTCGTCTTTCTCATCATTCCAGTGCTGTCAAATAAAGATAAAGGTACAGAAGCAAGTTCATGCTTGAAGCAAAAGCGCAAATCCTCTGGAGAATGGATAGTGCATAATATTCTTTGGAAAAGCTGAGTGGAATCGACTTGAATAATATCATTGCCAACCTTAATTTTCCCAGCTGGCGAGGCCATGGTCCTTACTATGTTTGCACGCTTCAATTTAACTGTCCCAAATTCACTGCCTACAGTACCACGCAGAATTTTCTCTCCCACAGTTTTCGCTTCATAGCAATTGGTTTTCTCCTCGGCCACAATACCAGTAGATAGTGAAATAAGATTCGTTGTAATAGTAAACGGAGAGTGTTCTCGGAGCCACTGCTCAAATTTTCGACAATCTTGTTCATCTGTCTGTATTCTTGAGTCTCTCATTTCTACATGCTGATCTGTGGTGACTGGTGTGATATCGCAATATGTTTCCACAGCTTCGCATACATGGTGGGTAGATGGCATTCCAAGAATCCATTTATTTAGAACACTTTCTGAAAATCCTCTTCCATGAGTTAAACCACCAAGGCTTTTCATGCCTCTCATAAGCGTTTGCTCAATGGTCATATCTGACCAAATTCCAGACCAATGTTTTTCTGAACGGCGAATTGTAAAAAAACCCTGCTGTGTAAATTGCTCATATTCCTTATTAGTCATCTTCTGATTAAGACAATCCATTTCTTGGAGATAAATCTGACACGACTTCGCGTACGGAAAATGACCAGTTGCGTGAAAAATTGGAAGCATTGCTCTAATGCAACGCAAATGAAGGTCCCAATTTCCCGTACGTTCCGCTTGAATGAAATGAATCACAATAGTCAATAACTCTAAATACTGCAACCATAATTTTGCAGTTTTTCCATTTTCATTTAGCCGGCTTATTGTTTCTGAAAACTTTATTTTAATTTTTGTAAGGGTATCATCATTTACTAAGATGTCGAAAGTTACTGTTTTATTTTTTCCAATTCCGGCGAGTAAAGATTGGATATAGTCTTTGTCTTCCTTTGAAACTTCAATTTCTTCAACTATTAGCATGGAAATAGCGCAAAAAGTAAGACAGTGAGCTCGAATCGCCCGTGCGTATGCATGGCCTGAAAGCATATGGGGGATAGATGCAGAAGCGTATACCGTTGACCATAATTCTGCAAGTCCACTGCCAGTCATACACGGAAAAAAATTACGTAGATCAACTAAAAAAAGATTAGATTCATTGTCTAAAATCTTTCAATAAAAATTAGCCAAAAAATGCAGTTAGGCATTTAATCTAATTAGATAGTTGTATTTTTTCTACTAAGAAATGTGATTGTTTTATCTACTCGAATAGTAAAAACAATTAATTAGAATAATTGTCATTATAAATTTGAATAGATATATGGTACTACATAATTGTTTCATTTAACTACTAAATTTAAGAAAATTGTCTAATTTTTTTTAAATACTAGACATATTATTTAGCTTACTCGACTCTTGTGATTTAGTTAATTTACCTTTTTGTTTATAAAATATCTAACTATTATCCGAAGTTTCAGACACTTATTATGACTAATGTACCTATTAATATAAACTAGACATTTTTACTAATGTTTTGTTCAAATTAAAGAAGCGTGTAAAACATTTTGATTAGATATTTAAACTACATTTAATAAATAAAAACACTATTAAAATATAACTGTTTATTTTTTTTAAGTAAGATACAAAAAACATAGAAAAAGTTTTAGTACTAAATTTAACTTAAGTATACTATTTAAACACACTAATTACGTTTAGAACTATGCATTAATACCTTTCAAAAGTCTACATGTATATCATTTTTTTATCAAACAATGTTGTAAACATTTCCATGCACTAAACTTGAAATCCAAAAGAATGTTTTAATTTAATAGCCATCGACTTATCATATAACGTTACCACATTTGTCGGTGGGTAGGGGAGACCGGGGACAATTGTAACAATTTTTAAATAATCAAGTTCCATTTTGTAGGTGTTCATGAAAATTATCTGAACTCTTGGTGGTGCATTAGGACATGTTTCCTTTATGTGTCGGCGAAGTAGGGGCTATATTTGGATAATCTGTTAAAAAAAATGATATTGTATCTATATAGCTGTCACATGTTACATTTGTACCGCGTCTGGGGACAAATGTAACGAACCTGGGGACAATTGTGACAACTTAATTTACGTTGAAATAAAACCCATCGAATTACTTTTCGTTTTTAATTTTTGAAATAACATAAATGCATTTCTGTAATTTAACAAAAAAATAACAATAAAGTAATTAAAATTCTCAAACACTTAGGTAAATAGGTAGATATTAATCTCTGCAGTTGATGCAATAGAAGAAAAAGCTATCCTCTTCATCTCTACAGTCCGAATGGCACCAGCTCTTGCAGGATTGACACTGTATCCACTCCTCACCACGCTTGTCATTGGAGTAGGGCTTTAGGCAATACAGACATACTGCGTCGTCCTCATCCGATGAACTAGAAACTACACTTTTTTTCTTATACACCTTTCTCTTTACTTTCTCAGCGTTCTTTTTTCGAAGTTTGGATGCCTCTTCCTCAAGTGCCATCTTCTCAGGTGTTTCAGTTAGTATTGCCGTTGATCTCTTTTTCCTTATAACTTTTTTCTTGAGATTTAATGGAACCTTTGGAAAGGGCCGAATTGTTTCCAATAATTCTTTGGAATTGTTTAATGCGTCTATTTGGTGAGTATCTATTTTCGTTGGTGTTTTATTGCCAATGATATGATCAGATTCTCGTGATGTTGATGGAATAGGGTCAGTTTGAACTAATTGGGGGATCTCTGCTGCGTTGTATAGGTTGGTGGTTAAAGGGGTGTCAGTCGGTAGAGAGGGTGAAAACTCGTAGTCTTGAAACACATCTCTATTAAAAGGAAATATTCCCGACACTTTGAATCCACTAAGGATGTTAGTTGGCGTAGTAGCTTTTGGTAATGCTTCGGCGACAAGTCCTGGTAAGTCATATATCCCCATGGTCTGTCCGGGATGATTTTTCATCCAAGCGTCCATAGCACTGTTCATATATGTTTTTAGTGGACCATATACACTTCGATCTAAGGGCTGTAATTTATGCGAAGTGTGAGGCGGAAATGACAGAAGAACGATTCCGTTGTCTCTGCAGAAGT